GATAGATAGATAGATAGATAGATAGATAGATAGATAGATAGATAGATGATAGACAGACAGACAGACTAGCCTATAAGCCATATCAAAGTACAGGTTCATACACATATTGCCAATAAAATTCTAAACAAACCATTTAAAACGAGAGTAGGATAGCAGTTAAGTCAGTCACACAGTCGGTCCTTAAGTGAATCTGGCTTCCCCATTGACTCTGCTGGTCTGTTCTGACCAAGGCTCCCTGAGACAGTAACAGTCACATGCTGTTCAGTGGTGGCATTCTACCGGTTTGGACCGGTTCTTGGTAGCGCCAAGGAGCGGCGGAGACCAAACCGGTTCTCTCTCCTGGGTTCCCATACTAATCTTTATGTCCTGCTTTGGAAATGCAGCTGCTTTGCGCAGCGCATCCGTTTACTGCGCGGCAGCTGCCGAAGCGACAGCAAGTTTGCAGGAGGTGAGTCAAAACGCCTCCGTGCCTGTGCGCAAAGTGTGTGCGCGTGCACGCAAAGCACACCCACCAGTTCACGCCCACTGAAACGGTGGTAAAAATATTTGAAACGCACCACTGACGCTGTTCCCAAAACCCCCCCCCCTTTTTTTTTTTTATTTCAACGGCTGTGAATTATATGTATTCCCAGTCCGTACTGAGTCCCGGATCAACGACCGCTGGCTGCATCCCGCCGGGTCACGTGATCCCCTTTTGCGACCATCTGACGAGCGGAGTCCATGGGGAAGCCAGATTCACTGAACAAGCGTATGACTGGCGTATCCACTGCAGTGATTCCCTTCCTTATGACCTAAGGAAGGTCATAAAATGGAGCACAACTGATTGAGCAGCTGTCTCGCTTAAGCAGCCAACGTTTGGGCCTCAATTTTATTTTATTTTATTTTATTTTATTTTATTTTTGTCAATCGCTTACAAGATAATAGGTATAAGTAAAAATATAGTTATGAATACATGGATACATATAAGAAAAATAATAAATATATATAAAAGAAACAATAGGACAGGGATGGTAGGCACATTGGTGTGCTTATGCACGCCCCCTACAGACCTCTTAGGAAAGGGGTGAGGTCAATAGTAGACAGTCTAAGGTTAAAGTTTTTGGGGTTTGGGGATTGTAAGTCATAAGTGCAGAACTATCCCTAGTATTGTCTAAATTACTTCCAGTGCATCGCCAGAAACCAATCTCGATAGGCCTTGGAACTGTCCTAACTTGACCCACCTTTATAGAATCCAGGGGACTCGGATAATGACCTTCAAGTTCTCAAGTCTTCTGACTTAGGATTGCTAAGAATCTGACAACAGCATCTGTCTTGGGCCATCTCAAGAGGAGAAGTCCAAGGAAAGGACGATTGTGTAAGCTCTATACTCAGCATGAGATGTTCAAAAACAACATTCTTCCTCGCCCAAGAAACCCGAGAGCATTGGCCATGCTCCTTCCACCCCGTGGTCAACCTCTCCGCCCACATAGCTTGCAGGTCACGTTTTGGCCATGAAGAAGAATTAGTGCGGTCCTTGGGTACCCAAAATAGCTCTAAAATCTTCTCTTGGCCAAAGGGACTGTGATTGGCAGGCCTTTAATGTCAGGGTATCAATAGCATTTCGGGGTTCAAACAGGAATAGCACTTAGATTTAGGCAGGTAGTCTTCAGATTACGAGGAGTGGCACATAGAGGTGGAGTTCTCGCTTCACAATCAGGAGGCTGTGAGTTCGATCCTAGGTAGAGGCAGATATTTCTGGGCACACTGAGAATATGTCTGTTGAACAAAACTCCGCATTGAAAACAGGAAGGGCATCCGGCCATTAAAACACTCCGCTAGCTCCATTCAGTTGCTCAGATTCCACCCCGCAAGGAATTACGACGTCGTTAAAAGACGATGGCCGTCAACATCGGGGATGAGACTGTAATTATTTTCAGCTACAGATTGTCCTTATGACCACAGCTGAGCCCAGAATTTCCATCGCTAAGCAAAACGATTGTCAAGTTAGTTTTGCCCCGTTTTACGACCTTCCTTTCCCCCTGTCATGAAGTGAATCCCTTCCATTGTTAACTGTAATAAAGCTAATCGGTGAATCCTGCTTCCCCCTTGACTTGGCTTAGCCGAAGGTCGTAATTGGAGATCACATGACCCTGGGGACCTTGAAACAGACATAAAGACCATGCCAGTTGCCAAGCAATCTGAATTTTGGTCACGTGACCACAGTGGTAAGTGTGAAAAATGGTCCTAGGCAGGGGTGGGATTTGACCGGGTCGGGTGAATCGCGAGCTCACCGAGCTGTTACACCGGTTGAATCACACCACTGGTCCTTAAGTTACTTTTTTCAGGGCGGTCGTAACTGTTCTGACCAAGCCTTCCTGAAACCGTAATTAAGCACATGCTTAGTCCAAACAACTCTCGTTTTATTTCAACGCTGGGAATTATGTTCATTCTGTAATGAATCCCAAACAGTCCCTCGAGATAAGCACCCACCTTTCTCTCCTTTGAATTGCTGCCAACAACTAAAATGCCAAATGAACTGGGGAAAAAAAAAAAGCCAAATGAAGTACAAAGTCCATACAGAGCTTCAAGGTTTAATCTGAACAGAGTGAACGACTTTGCTTCCTGAAAAGGTTTCCCTACCTTTGCACCTCCTTTATACCTTATGGGAGGGGCAATCACCTCCAAGCCTTATTCCCGATTTGCCCCTTTTGTCTCAGCTGCTTTTGCCTTCTAGCAGCTCTATGCATATGCGCACTGGGAACAGGCTCCCCTGGATCCTTTTCCTCACTGCTGCCAGACTCTAAAGGCTCCGGAGTCAGCACCCCACTCCTAGGTGGTCCTGTCCCCATCTCTGCATCGGATGCAGGACCCTCATCCAAGTTCTTTCCAGACTCCCTGACTGGTCCCTGTTCTTCCCCACTGTCCGATTCCACTGCCGTCTGCACAGGCTACCGGCGAACCACAACAGTAACTCAAAATGGCCACTAGACGAATTGTTGTGAGTTGAGGCCTACCTGTCGCCGAGAAGCCTGAAGCCAAGAGAATTGCTAGGACGGCAATCTTAAGCCAGAGAGTAGGTAATCTTAAATATTTTCCCCTTTGTTTTTTTCCCCCTCCCTGACAGGACCTGAAGAAATACGGCGCAACCACAGTTGTGAGAGTGTGCGAAGTGACGTATGACAAGACACCCCTGGAAAAGGATGGCATTAAAGTGATGGTGAGTCTCTTGCTTTGAAATTCTATTTTTATTTTTATCTCTGCTGAAACCACCGAGAAGGTTCAAGCATCACGAATGGAAGAAATGTATAATTACAGGGAGTCCTCAACTTACTACAGTTTGCTTAGTGACTGTTCGAAGTTCCGATGGCATTGAAAAAAAAGGGGCATTTTTCGTACTTACGACCATTGCAGCCTCCCATTGCAGATGGTCAGGTGATCAAAATTTAGATGCTTGACTACTGGTTTATGACGATTACAGTGTCCCAGGGTCACATGTTCTCCTTTAGCGACCGTCGGACAAGCGAAGTCAACGGGGGGGGGAGCCATGTTCACTTAAAGACGGTGTGGCTAATTTTAACAGCTTGCAGGGATTCACCTAACCAGTGTCGCGAAAAGCATTTTAAAATGGGGGCAAAACTCATTTAATGTCTCACTTAGCAGCATAAATTTCTGGCCTCCCTTGCAGTCTTACGTCAAAGACTATCTGTACTTCTAAGCACCGGTTGTGGGGTTTTTTATTTTGGATGGCAGCTTTGCCGCCCGATACATTTCCTCACATGTACATAGCACAGGTTCGTTTAGTGACTTCCAACAGTGTTGAAAAAAATGGTTTGTGACTGTTTTTCACACTTAATGACCGTTGCAGCATCCCCATGGTCATGTGATTGAAAATTCAGATGCTTTGCCAACCGGTTCATAGTTATGACGGTTGCATTATCCCCGGGACTATACGATTCCTTTTTTAAAACTGTCTGACAAGCAAAGTCAATGGGGAATCCAGATTCACTTAATGACCGTGTGACTAATTATAACGACGGCAGTGTTTCCCTTAACAGACATGACCAAAAAAAGTCGTAAAACAGGGCAAAATCCACTTAACGAATATCTCCCTTAAATTTTGGGCTCTGTTGGGTTGCAAGTCAAGGACTTGAGACGCCTTACATCGGTGCCGCAAAGTTGTGTGTTCACATGACCCTTCAGCCGTCATAAATGTGAACCAGTTGCCAAGCGTCTAAATTTTGACCCATGTGACCGTGGGGTCGTAAGTGTGAAAAACGGTCACCAGTCATGTTTTTCAGTGCAGTTGTAACTTTGAATGGGCACTAAACAAGCTGCTGTAAGGCGAGGACTCCCTGGATTGTATCCTGGGAAAGTGATAATCTGGAATTTCTCGTTTCCTGATAAAAGAGAAATCGAAATAAAGGTAGTGTCATGCCTCTGTCGGAGTCTGAATCCGAGGAGGAAGACGAACCACTGACAGGGAGCGGGAGTGTGGCTCTGTTGGCTGTGGAGGAAACAGGAAGGGCAAAGTCTGGCTGGGCAGAGCAGGAGAGAGGTAGAACAAGGAAGAGGGAGTTCAGAGGAAGACCCAGGCCCAGGCCCTCTTCATCCTAGGGTATGCCGGGAGGAACGGAGAAGAGAGCAACGTGGGTTGCTTGACTTACGGGACAGGAAAAGGCCCTGATACCCTTCATTAGCCACATCTGGGAAGAGAGTTTAAAAGAGATGCAAGCTGAGTGTGGAGTCTGCTGGGAACAAACATGAATTTATCTTGTGTTGACTCTGGTTATCTGCGTTCCTGGCATCCTCCCAACTGGGTTGATTTACTGCCGTTCCTTCACATCTGGAATTCCTTTCTTGCCCTGCCAGATTAATTATATCATCTTGCCTTGATTGGACTTATAGTTACAGTTTTTGTTGACAGTGTTTTGGACTTGATTCTCTGCAGCCACAGGCTGTTCCTGGGAGTTTTTTTCTCCAGGCCAAAAGGTAACCAGGATATTGGGGACGCAAAGTTGGAGCTACTAAAGGGACTCCTACTGATTATCTGACTGTGTTGCCTTTGTACAATGCCCTCGGTCATCACAGGTACCAAGTGATCCTTGAGTTACAACTGTGAGGGTGCCTGCCTGTAACAGTCATAAATTTGACCTTGGGATTTAATAATTTTAACGTCCCATTTTTTTCCTGCCGTCTTTAAATGAACCACTTCAGTCATTAAGAGAATTATCTGGTTGTTAAATGAATCAGTGGTTTGCCACGGGTTTCCCAAAAATTGAAAATAAATGTCAATTTTCAGCAAAATCACGGTAAAACATAGTTATAGGAGTATACAAGGCTACAAAATACAAAAAAATTGCAGCCATTTGCTGAAATCTACAAGTATGGCATCCAAATCATAAATGCCTGTTTTCACGTCCATCGTGACTTTGATTTGCTGTGTGGTGAGGATGACCAGTATCCTTGCCAATTCTTACTGGCCTTTGAAAAAAATGCAAATTGGTAGGGAAATGGTAGAGAGAAGAGACTTACAAGCCATGCATTTTGGGGGGCGGGTGTTATCTGAATTGTAAAGAACCCCGACTGTACATTCCCCTCGAGGCTTAAAAATTGAAGACTGTAATTCAGTGGGTTTATTTGACCCCAGACTCTGATCCCACGTACAGCATAGAACATCATTGGGGCTGGAAGGGACCTTGGAGGTCTTCTAGTCCAACCCCCTGCCCAAAAAGGAGACCCTATAGCATTTCAATTAAGTGCCTGTCCAGTCTCTTCTTAAAAGCCTCCAGTGATGGAGTAGCCACAACTTCTGGAGGCCAGCAGTTCCACTGGTTAATTGTTCTCACTGTCAAGACATTTCTCCTTAGTTCTAAGTTGCTTCTCTCCTTGATTAGTTTCCATCCATTTCTTCTTCTCCTGCCTTCCTGGTGCTTTGGAGAATAGGTTGACCTTCTCTTCTTAGTGGCAGCCCCTGAGATATTGGAATACTGGTATCATGTCTCCCCTAATCCTTATCTTCCTTAAACTAGACATACCCAATTTCTACAACCTCCCTTCCTTTTAGCCTCCAATTTGAAACTCTGCCTGTTTTTTTTTTTTCTGTGAGTCTGTCTGTCTTTCTTTCTTTTTTTCCTCCCTCCCTCCTTTGAAGAATAGCTTGACTCCCTTTTCTTTGGGGCAGCCCCTCAAATATTGGAAGACCGCTATCCTGTCCCCCCTAGTCCTTCTTTTCGTTAAACTAGACATCCCCAATTCCAGCAACCTTTCTTCCTTTCTTTTAGCCTCCGGCCCTCTAATCCTCTTAATTGCTCTTCTCTGCACTCTTTCCGGACTGCAGCTAATCCTGGCAGTTTGTTTCGTGACTGTTCAAAGTTACAAGAGCACTGAAAAACGTGATTTAAAGGTCGTTTTCCACAGTTAACAAAGCTTTGCAGCCATCCCCAAGGGGTCCTGCAATCAAAATTCTGGAAACCGAGAAAACTCTCCATCGCTCGATGCAAAACACAGCATATCTTCCTCTGTTGAGTCATCCAAGTTAGGTCTCCAAGCTAAGCAGTCCATGAGCAAAGTGGAAATTTGCCAGGGAAGCCTGCCTCTCTCCTAATCAGGAGGAATTTCCCTCTGGAAAAAGATGTAAAAGGGAAATCCTCAGGAAGCTGCCTAATTTAACATACCACATCTGTTGGGAAGCATAAACCCCAGTTGAAAGAGCTTTGGGAGAGAGGGAGGAAACAAAGAAAGAAAAAGAAAGAGAGGAAGGAAGGAAGCAAGGAAAGAGAGAGAGAGAGAGAGAGAAAGAAGAAAGGAAAGAAAGAAAGAAAGAAAGAAAGAAAGAAAGAAAGAAAGAAAGAA